AGCATACATGTATGCATGCGTTGGCGTGTTCTTGTTTATGCTGATTGCACTCTATGAGTCAATTCTGTCAAAACCTGCTCTGAAGCGACAGTGAAGTATGTGGAAGGCGGTTTTGAGTCACCTCCGACAAATGAGCATCATGTCAACTCTAAGAGGGACAGGCGAGCTACACGCGAGTACACACAGGTCCTTCGTTTAGAGCTCAGCCAACTAATTGTCGGTATCAAACGATAAACACAGTAAAATAACCGGACCCCTTTCCCCTGACTCCGAAGGATTTCCCTGTAGGGCACAGGATGGATGGGGCCGAAACGGTTTTTCACTATCGAAAACATTTGGATCAACACTGCTTCTGACAGTCCTCGTTGTGTACGCATCGACATCAAGTTATGATCAAGACCAACTGAACGCGTTCTATATGGAATCGGGGTAGTTCTTCAGAAAAGACCATATGTTCTTTAAGATCGTCATTGAACATTTCAATGCTACGGTTGTACCCTTAAGAACGGCACATTGTGAAAGACAGTTTAGAATGGAACGAGGAGGAGGAGCGGTTTCTTGAGTTTATCATGACGCTCAAGACCATTACTAATGGTAAGTCGCAGCTCCAGAACCTTTACCCTTAACACTGGACATGTAGGTCTCCCAGTGGATAACAGCATAACGAAATATACCACATTATAGTAAATAGAAGACTTGGCCAACCAATGCCTCCGTTGTCTCAAATTTCTAGAGAAGATCAGGCCATCGCCCCTTTCGTGCACATTTCTTTTCTAGAGAAATGGAGAAAGAAAAGCTAAATTCAAAAAACGAGGTCCAATATCCGGCACAAATAGAGATTTATCCAGTTGATCAGTTGGGTGTTGAGAAATTGGCGTTTTTGGTAACATTGACGAGGAATACGACCGGCTCATTCAACATTTCCACGTTAGCGCTATGAAAGCTGAGAGTTCGAAAGTAACCAAGAGACGTCTGTCATCAGAAACACTCGACTTGATACGCCAACGTGGAATCGCACGAGCTGCACGCAACCGCGAACTAACGTGCGAACTTGCAGAACAATGCAGACAGGCGATAAAAGAAGATTTTAAGGTGAGAAGAGCAACAATTATGATCGAAAGTGCGGAGGCTGGTAAAAGCATTTTTAAATCCATCGAAGCTAACATGGCCAAGATAATTGCAATCCTAAAGGCAAAAGAAAGTGTTACAACTTCCAGGAAAGCAATAGGGAAAATTATTTACGATTACCACTCAAATCTCTTCAATAGCCACGAACTGCTGCTTTCATATGAAGCAAAGAAAGGTGAATATGTCGCACCACCGGTACTCGCTCCTTAAATCCAACATGTTATTTCGTCGGTAAAAAGTCTAAGAACACCATCTTAAACCGTAATATTCTGCCATTCACCTTTATGCTTGCTCGGAAATCAACGTCCTTTTTGTGTATAGGTATGTATACACCACTGGGAAGCACATTTTGTGCACTTTTGTTAGGTGTCATTGAATTCTAATAAAACGATGCCAATCAGCATTAAGAAAAATCCACTTCTATGAATTAAACTCGAATCAACGCAACAAACGGCTCTAAACGTTGTAATGAATGAGACCAAGGAAATATCATTGGACTCACGCTGCAACGTCAGCTTGGAACAACTTGCCATGACGAGCTCAGGCTTCAAGATGAGAATGGTTGGAGGTTGTGCTGTTGACGATTATGAATTAAAGTTTTTGATGGAAGTAGATTGACGCGCAGCTAATGGGGAACTTCCGGAAGCACTTAGTTTTAGCATGCCAACTTTTTCGGAACACCTCAAGGAAATCAAAGACTCGAAGGAGCTTGACAAATGGTTAGCGTACGAATTGAATGGCATTCATGGAAATTGCCCTTTTGAGATATCGTCCGCTCTTTTCCTGCACAACTAGAACAACTCAGTACTGTGACGCGCGACAAGAAATGAAAGCTCCATAACAACCGGCAACAACTGCATAATGATTAGATAGCGGCGAAGCTTCGCAGCACTAAAACGATTACGGCAGTGTAGTACGTCCAGCAAATCGAACTAAACCGACCAGAAACCTTGCCACAAAGGCAGCTCCCACATTCGCCAACGAAGCGATACCAATCCCTTTGCAGAATAACACTCGGCAACACGTCGTGGAATCGACAATGCAAAATTTGAACGAGTTTCATTGCAAAACTCTGCTTCATCCACCCTACTACCTAATTCCCCATCTAATGACTTCCAATTTCTAAAGAATCTCCTTAGCTTTCCGTTGGTGAAATGCTAGAGGAAATCAGCAGGAGCTAAAACTATGTCCGACGATTTCACTGCCAAAAGATTTTCAGATTTTGAAATGACTGGCGTATATAAACTTTTTTCTGTTTGAGAAAATGTATATCTCCCGCCGCCGGCTTTCTATTAACCTCGGCACTGAATTCATACGCAGTTTATCATGCCAAACACTTTAATAACACAAACAGAAAGATGAAAATCTGTATTGTAATCACATGATCAGCAGGTTCTCGAACGACTCACCGTTTTTTACGTGCATTCCACTGGGGAAGAACAACCACTTAAAGTTGCATACGATTAATAATTGCACCACTCCACATAAAAAGTGAAATACTCTTCATTGTCAGGTAGTTCGTAATCGCCTGCATGACCGTCTATGACGAACACGTAATAGCGTAGTTTGCCTTTACGTCAGGGACGCTGACTGCATGCCTTCAGGCATGATATGCCTAATCTGTTGTGGTACTTGCGAAGACGAATATATTGAGGAAACGGGCAGACCTTTATGTATCCGTATAAAAGAACACTTAGATGGCAAACGAAAGAGAAGGCAAAGTACTCCACTAGGCACGCGTAGGGCACAAAAGCATAGTGGAGCCCATTTTGATATAAAAGTTACTATCCTCACACAGGATGCTAAACCACCAGCACGCAAACTTTTTGAGGTTTTTTGGATAAATGCCAAGAACTCTATAGGGTATAGGGGGAGGAATGCCCAGTGTCACACCCGATCTGGCCCCGTATCTTCGCATCGGTTTCTGCTGTGGGGTGATGGAGTAATCAACCATATGCGACTACATAGCTGTTTTTTCTTCTTCAGTGGAAGACACGTAAAAATACGCTAGGTTTTTCGGGAAGCTGTTGATTATATGATTGCCATACAGATTTTCGTCTTTATGTATGTGATACTGAAACGTTTAGCGTAGTAAATTACATATCACTATACTCTTCCAGGCTCTGAAGAAGGCGATACTGCTGAAACGTCAGGCACTGTTATGTTTCACGTGTTTTCGTACAGAAATAAACCTATGCTATATAACAACCTCGCCATTACTGAACAAAAAAACGGCCCATTTATAATCCAATGGCGAGGTTAATATAAAACCAATCATGGGAACCAATATGTATCAAGTTCTAAATGCTGAAGTTATTAGTGTTTGGGTGAGAGGATTAGGTGCCACTTTGACCTTTTCAGGCTCAGAAGAGTGCGAACCAGCCGAAACATCAGATGTCGTGCATCAATAAATACTGTAATAACCAACCCGTGTTTGGTCATGAAGAAAACGGTGGGTTATTGATTAATGCTAAGGTTAGAGAAAAGTATGTGTTGGGAATTGCTACACGAAGCTTATATCTAATTTTCATTCAAGTATAATGTTCCACATAAAGAGCCAAGAAAAAAGCTTTCGGAATTGATCAGACCCTGCACGATATGTCATGTAGTCGACATCATCAAGCATCGTTGGAGTTGACTGAATGCATAGCTACGCTATACAAAGACTTACAGTGGCTATCCGATGCATTAAGTCGGCGTTTTTACCTTCCCGGACAATTTTGCTACCACTTTGATGTCCCTAGTGGTGTGGAAAGCTTGTTTTGCACGACACGAAACTTGTGCTCGAACTGAAAATCACGTTCCTATTTAAAGGCAGCTCTAACTACACACTCTAGATCCAAGGTTATCAGTTAAAAATGCTAGTGGTGAGAATTTGAACTCTCCACTTCAAAGTTTGAAATTTTGTACCCATTTTAAATGGCGTTGTTGACGTATCACTGCATCTCCACACCAGAAAACTTTCATTTTCACGCTCCTCGGATCCTTTAATGGTCAGTTTCACACGTAAAACAATGTCTTCGCTTGTAACAATCTCCACTGTTAGCAAGAAAGCGAACTGCGGGATGAAACTGCTGAAACTTTCGGATGAAAATGGTGTGTGAGCAATGGCAGTTGATAGTGATACGTCTATGAACTATAAAGACGATCCCAATAATGTGTATCGATTTTCCCGAGTGATAGATTGGAATGATTAAAGGCCAGTACTATGTAAAGATAAAGAAAACTATTTCATTTCATTTTTATTTTATATTTCAATCTTTAACAAGCTATTTGTTTATTCACATGACTCGTCATTGCATGTTCTGCAGACTCCAGCACTTGTTTCATTTGGCTCGTTGCTTCACATCAGCTATCAACAGCAGTCTTCAGATTTACGTGTAGGTTTTGCCGCTACTTGAGGATTTCGTTCTCATCATGAATTTAGCTGATCGACATTATTCACCCTACAATGCTAGCCTTGCTCTTCTAGAGCGCCTTCAGAACTTTGCTACATGAAGGTGTAGACTTTTCTGGATTGGAGGGACCTCTTCCAGACAGGTCTGGAACCAAAGCGACAAGAAGTATTTTTTGGCGTCAACGCGAAGGTGGAACGTCTATTGTAGAGGGTCGGTAACCACTCCCATAGCAAACGGACGCGACCAAAGTACTCAATTTTTATCACTATTCACAAAAATCGTCAAAATAATACAATGACACATTAATAAACTCAATAAAGCCACTAATTAACAAAGGCAAGAGATCGGTGGAAGCCGAAAAGGTACAGAATTAAATCTGAAATAACACTATTTGCGGTCTAGAATTATGTGTGTTTCATTTTTCAGTCATTTTTCACGATAAGAAAAACTTACTTAGTATCTTAGAGGATTATTTCAGAACATATTACTTTGCTGATGAAGTTTCTTCACACTCATTGTTCGTCGATGATGCTGTACACATCCAAGTGAGAGCAAGTCCCGGAAACAGCGCCGAAAATCACCGTTGTACATCGTGTATATGATAGGATTCAGCACCTACGACATGTCAATTCATCGATGTATATTAAAGTTGTACTTTTTTAAACGACAAACATTTAACCTTAGCATCAATGGTCAATACCTTTTTGGATTATTAAGCCAGCGTGATGTTGATAGGGAAAAAATACCAATTAATTTTAACCTTTTCGTTTACTGCATATTCTTTTTAACGGCAGGGTATGTTGCAAAACGTAACTACTATAATACTGAGATATTTGCAAAACTCCGGACCGCAGGTGTTTGCGGTGGGTAACGACGCGCTATTGTCCTTTCCGGGGAGCAACGCGTTCACCATGAGAGACAGGCGAAACGAAGGACCTGCATGATGTGGTGGTGAACGCGTTACTCTCCAGAGAGGACAATAGCGCGTTCGTTCCCCACCGCAAACACATGCGGTCCGGAGTTTTGCAAAAAACTCAGCATCATAGTACCTATTAATTTTGTTGCTTAATGAGGAGAGTAAAGGGCGCGTGTAGCGCAGTGGTCGGATGCGTCCTGCAACACACACGTGGAATCGATCCCAGCTTCCATGACTCATCAAGCCTTCCATCACTCCAGGATCGGCAAGTTGGTATCAGGTTTGTCTGGGATGATAGCATCACTGGCTCGATACATGGGTAGGCCAACGCGAGTCATTGTAATGGTCAGATATGCATTCAAACACCTCCAAGCGATACTTAATGAGATCGAATGCATAGCCCATCTCTAAGGGATTGATCAAAGCCGAGAGCTTCATGCTCCATTAATGAGGAGAATGCTCATTGAAGTGAGGTGTTATTCGCAAGCATCACGTCACTGGCTCGATACCAGTTATTGGGGCTTGCATGGCGTACACATTTGAAACACTCAATTTCTGACCAGACTAAAAGTGAATGCATAATGGAAGAGCTATCTCCACCAAGGTTTTTTCTTTCTAAAAGATTAATCATATAGCGAAAGTGAACGCTGAAATCCGTGCTACGATTTCACCTTAAGAATATATTGAGACTCACGACGAACATACCGAATTCGAATAGCCAAGCCAAAGAAAGAATTCGTTGATCACTCTGAAGACATTAGATGTATTGACAGTTGTGGCAAACACTTCGATCAAATAGATGACGAAAAATGGCATCCAACAAACAATGAAGCCTAAATTTTTCGTCACTTTCGGTTCCTTTGGCTTATGAATATAATGAAGGCGGTGTGTACAGTCTACGTATTAGTATATTAACGTTCAAATTCGGATGTTCTGCTCGTTTTAGTAGAATGTGTTACTGATCACATTCTAATTTCCTCACCCATAACAACAATACCAATAGTTTTCAGCGCTTTTCGTTCCCTCATGTAGACTATCTTCTCTTTCGATCCACGAGCTGTTTTACCTGGACCATTGATGTGGTAGTGTTCATAGGCCTTAAATGTAGTTACTTACACAATGACGTAAACAGTAGCACTTTTTGTTCGATTTGGCAGTTTTGTCATAAATGAAGAAACAGCCGACACATAAATAGATTGGAAACATCTCACATTTGATTAAATGCTTACGTGAAGCCAAAATCACAACTTGATGAGGCTATCCACTTATTATCGATAACAGAAAATTAATGGCAAAAAATTTAATGGGAGCGGGCAGCGCAGTGGTATTGATATCACTCATTGCAACGACGGCCCAACCTTACCTGGTGCTAATCCTCTCATTTCTCGAGGATCGAAAAAAGCGGTACCACACATAACTGGGACAAGCTCATCACTTTAATTCCCATGCGAGCGCTCAAGCACGGCTATTTTAGGATTCCAGCGAGAATCAGTTTGACCACCATCTAACAACATTCATATCGAAAGGAAAATCGTCAAGCAGTAGTCGAAATCACACGCAAAAAAAGTTGGTAGAATTCGTGGATGATGGATACGAACAAACGAATGGAATGCAAGAAACGCTGGTATTCACATAGTGCCACATATGATGTCGAATCAGGTAATAAACATTAATAACAGATAAATGGTAGAAATTAATAGTTGACATAAAAATTAAAAACAAAAGAAATTAACAGCCGATATGGTCTGCTCTATCGTGTATTTTTTTCTGAATAAAATTTGCATATAAAACTATAGTTTTGTCGAAATAAAGTGAGAGAACTTGATGATGCAATTTTGGGATGCAAGAAAAGTAGCAGCGCATCTATTTACCTCAAGACAAAAAAAGGTAGCAACTTTTATGGTTGGATCTAGCAAGGAAAAAATATCGTGAAAGAAAAGAAAATTAAAAAAGTAAACTAAAAAATCTAAATATTACGCTCGAAAACCTGGTGTCAAATAGTTCTGTCACGAAATTATCAATCGGTGGGCATCTCATTCTACGAGGACGTCCCGCCATTTAGTCTTCTTAGTAATTGCAGTGATAAAATAGTTTCTTAAGCACTTTATCATCTCAACGGGTAACTTCCTTTTAGCTCCGTTTTTCTACTCTGTGTATTATTGTCACGTTTGCGCTACTGATCTCTTTCGACAATGATTTCAAGTACACACGCATGTGGATTACCTTCGCCAGCAAGTTGTTCGGTTGCAGTCGGGCATGTGCAGCCTGTGCTCGCCGTGTCATAGATGGAACTTCCGAGTTGACATCAGTGCTTTTCCGCTTCGGAATAATCTATAAAATGTACAATATCGTCTGGAAAAATTTCCATTTGGTGAAAACGGAGATATCGGAACTTGTTCTCCATTTACAATGTCGGCCATTGAGTAACATCCTCTTTGGATGAAATGCGTTGTCCCATGCAATCTCCTGTAGTCACCATACGAAGCGAACAACATTGCGGACATCTAAGATTTGACTGCGATGAAGTGCACAACAATGCAGTAAACACATTAAAGTAACGAGATGAATAATATAGACGAGATGCAATGATAACATTAACGTTCATCTGGACTTAAAATGCATTGCGACAGCTGAATAATTAATTAAAGCTTAATAGACTTCGTTTACTCCATTAGGTAGATAGATGAATGTATAAACTGTGCATTGCGATCTCCTAAGTGAGCACTGTGAAAATACAAAAACGAATAACAGAAGTATGAAAAGATCTCGAAGAACTTTTGAAATGTGAAAAAATTCAGCGCATGAATGAAGGTAAATTTATCTACCTCAATGCTGTGCAGCGACGAATCCTCGCACTCGGTTGTGCGTGACTCTTGCTGAACCACCGAATCCTGAGGTCTGCAAAAGCAACGTTCAGTCTCGGTCTGATGTGAGAAAATACCGCGAATGCTATACAATGAATACTTTAGCACTGAGCAATTTTGCAGCTTTGAACACTGATAAATCATATGTAAATATGTCTCATAGTTTTTTAAAGCGACATATTTCCATTCATCTCCGATCTAAACTTTGTCTAATTGGCTTATGTGGCGCAACGGTCGGAGGCGCCCTGCAGCACGTACGTCTAATCGATCCCCGCGCCTATAGCCTACCAAGTCTTCCATCCCTCCAGGGTCAGCAACTTGGTGCCAGATTCGTTTGGGCTGATACTAACACTGGTTCGATATATTGGTTGTCCACCGCGAGTCATTGTAAAGGCCCTATATGCATCCAGTCACCTCAAAACGATGCTTAGTTGAGTCTAGTGCATGGCGCATCCCTCAGCCATTGATCAACACCAGGAGCTTTATCCTTTATTTTTTTTTTATTTTAAGCTGCATGTTGTGAACGCAACATAGGTTAATTTTTTCAAAAATCGTTAACAGAAAAGATGAAATATGCTAATCAGCTACTCAGGACGACACATCAGTTAAGCAGAACAAATAGCAAACATTGCTTATTAAATTACTTATTCAGTACTCCAACTATTTTAAAAAATTTTGTTAAATTATACGTTTACTATATGGGTACAGAAGGCCGAATATGTTCCTTACTTGTTGTATTCAAAATGCCGCTCTGTGTAGTTCACTCTGCTTGTATTTTGATGAACCTTCGTGTACGATTGTGGCGCACTTGTGGTTCTGAAATCCGACAGCAGAGACGGTCAATAAATAAGCACAACGACGTAGATGCTAGCGAGAAAAGGTTTCTTTTGTCTAGATCAGTTTCCAGGAATTCAAAGTAAAATTTGTCTCTGCTTTACAACAACTTAATATGGGGCAGATCACACGTCCCATAAACAGTTTGGTTTACCGCAACTGCTCAAAACCAGTAAAGCTTCTCAGTGATGTGTCTACATCTTTAAAAGCTATCGTGAATAACAGCTGGTAGACTGTTCCCGGAAACAAATTCGGAATCATAGCACTTCAAAACTGGCACGTAAAAAACCAGTCTGAAAGTTGAAGTAGAAAAATGGATATTCGTTTATCTTAATAAGAGCCTGTTTTACGTACCTGTAATTACCACGAATATTGCTTTGCTTTGCTTTAGGGAGATGATGACTTAGTCTGCATGTTCCGGGAGATTGACGCATAAGCGCACCTCGATCGGATGCCACTCGAAATATTTTGAAATAAACGGACAGCATCACCTAAATTGTTACTCCAGCTGTAGAAGAAAGAGCATAATAGCTACAAAAGCTATGAGGTGCACCCAATTTACAGAAAATGTTATATTTAATGTACATTTGGTGCTTCCAACAGGCTCAGAGATCCTTCGGCTTGCAACCATGTCAAGGAAATTCGCAAACAGTTTTTATCCTTAAACGCAAAAATAATACTTTCTACTACTGTTCAGTTAACACGAGGTGTTATTTCACTTCTTTATTTACGTACAAGCTGATGTTTCGGCGGATTTCGCCTTCCTCAGAACCTGGAAAGGTCAAATTGACAGCAATCTATTCGGCCAAATACCTCTATAGCGAAACAGAGAAAACGCTAAACCAAGATTTCAATCACATTTAACACAGCTCTGCACACTCAGCGCTTTCTATGAATCTTCCACTGAGTATGTCGTGTGCAGACCAACCGCACAGAATTCACATGGAAGCGTAATGTGCCCCTCTCATCAGAATAACAGGTTTATATACTGCCCTATATCATGTGTGATAATGAGGCATTCTTCCCGGCCGTTCATTTTCGGATTTCTAGAATTAATCCAGAACGCCTCGAGAGTTTTGCGCCCTTGCGTTCCTCTTTCCTGTGCGAGGATCGTGAGACGAACTTCAAAGTCCTCCCCGTTATGTCTCCGCGTACTATGCGTGCCTAGAGGGGTATTTGGCTGACGTTTGCCGGCTAGGTGTTCTTTTATGCGCGACACAGAGGCATCTGGCCGTTTCGCCAATGTATTCTTCTCCGCACGCCCTTCAGGAGATCAGCTAAACTATGCCCGAGCTCATGCTGTCGCCGTCTTTAGCACGGGGCAAAATGTGCAATCTTGCGCTGCACATAGGCGGTCATATAGGCGGTTACGAACTAGCTGGCGCTTAAGATTACTCGGTGNGCAAAATGTGCAATCTTGCGCTGCACATAGGCGGTCATATAGGCGGTTACGAACTAGCTGGCGCTTAAGATTACTCGGTGATATTTCATATAAATACAGCTATAAAACGCTGCTTAAGAAGGGCGGGCTTAGAGAAATCGGTAAGCGTAGTTGACGTTGAATTCTCCAACCACGAATTTATAGAAGTACTTCTTTTTTACCGATTAATGCCTTCAAATGGTTGTAAAATGCATCCAGTTCTCTGTCATGAGCTGTACAACTCGGTGGTGGCGAATGATGATACCGACTTTCTTTAGACGCGTAACTTGGAGACGAAGATTGGCCAAGCGCGATTATAGGATTTCGTATGAGGTGACGGCGTGAGAAGCTTATGGGTGTACGATGAAGCTAACGCCACCGTCATTTCAACGAATAACAACGGATTTACGTCTCTTGCAGTTCTATTACATAAAATTTTATACGAACTGTAGCATCAAGAACAGTGTAAGAATTAGCGTCTGAGGAGATTGTTATGGTATTATCGATGTAGAGCAAGAAAAAGACTCCATGGCGTGCCGTGGTCGTGTTCGTCTTGTTCAGTTCCAATAACGGCCCTTTGCAACTCGAAATTTGATTGCCTGTCACCGATTGTCTCACCATCTGAAGCCGTAAACGGGCACGGCTATGTATGCGGCCTACTGAAGCTGGTTTATTGCTGGTTGAGAGACTCGTAGTTCTCTAGATTACCGAGGTCACCATAGATGGAGCAGTCGTAAGGTCGTCACCACGGGAAGACGCCTGCCATTGTAGATCAGGGGAGGATTATCATCTGCTCCAAATGGCATATTCAGAAACAGTAATGCCATTAAGTCAAAAAAATATTATGACAGTTTGCGCCGCATTGTTATAACGTCTTCATTGTTGAAGTAGGCGCGGGAATGACTGAACTCTAGAAAGAATTCTACAGACAAGGCAACAAACTTCGTTCCAATCAGCAAGTGTCGACAAGCCTATCTCAAAACTCCATGGAAAAAATGTCTTCGACTAGTATTTATCACTTCCTATAAGAAAGAAGACGGCAGATTTTAAAGCCAAGGGTGAGTTCACCCGAATAGCAAATTTCGTGTAATCAGATATCCGAGGAAGGCTTTAACAATAATTCTAAATCATTTTCGTCACCACTTTACAAAGATTCTTTACCAAGTCGAATGTATTGTCAAAAATTCTACAACAGTGAATAAATGAAAACGTCAATAACGATCTACTGTGTATGACTTTCAGTCAAAAAATTCTCAAGATGTTTTCATGTTGCATTTCTTTTACCACTCCTAAACTTTTACCAAGCCACTTTATTGTTTGCTAAATCAACTCCTAAGAAAGGAACGGTAGATGGAATCACTCGATACTCAATCGAACATACTCTGGTGCACATTGTTTATTCGGGTCTACTCGAAACGAAAACACCTACTGCTTTTTCACAAAAACTCAAAAACTTTATCACAGGATTAATTACTTAAACCAAAGAGGATCAAGTAGCAGCAAACGTTTTAAGCTCCTGAGTGATCATGAGTACCGAACACCGGTGTCTGAACACGAAATTCGACAAAATAGCGTAATATTCGTACCATTATAACAATAAATTAGAAATATCTCAACAGATTATAATACAGCTATAAAAATAGCCACATGTTTAGTAACTAAGTTCAACTAGGTAGGAACGAAAGCTGACTGCAGAGAGAAAGGGATACGTTATAACAAATGACTCATACGGGGAAATATCCACATACGACCTCAAATATGACGTGCTAAATGAGAAAAACACCAACTGGGGAGATATGAAGATCCACTGTGAAATAAAATCGCCTACATAAGAGCTCGAAATAGAGAAGCACAAAACAACAAGGCGGGTGAGTGTTCAAAAATAAGACGACCCGTAAGTGTGCGTGGTGAAGATGTCAGCAATGATATGGAAACATCGAAACGTTACGACCTTAAAACAAACCAAGGAAGCTCATGCATGAAGAAATGAGAGGATGAGGCAACGGCAAAAATCTAATTAAGGCCTTAAAACTGAAATAAGCATAACATTTATCAAAACGTTAGCTCTTTACGTTACTTGTTTACGTCTTTAGATACATTAAAATGCTTGTTTCAAAATGAGGAACAAGTAAAAAATCCCTGAGTTGTAAGTAGCTTAATACGATGATAACGATGGTCCAAAGCAGAGTACGATGCTGATTAGAACCACAAGGATGTTGAGATATGACGAAAACTAGGAACTTCAACTGGGCTTCGAACGGCGCGGTTACACTTATTAGGTGTTCACGTGTTATCCACCACACATACCGAAGCCCTTCCTTTCCTTCCTCTCAGCAATGTCTTCACTATGCTAGCTCTAACAACAATTAGTCGCCAATGGGAACTTGAGCCGCGAGTAAGGGTAATCGCAGATTCGAACCCCAGTTGTGGTTCCGAGTGTTGCCCACATCTCAGCATCCTCGTTATTTAAGTGATACATGGATTAGATACTCTACTATCTGTTCTTCTCTGTTCTCAATGTATTTTCATCATCGGCGTCTTCTTCGTTCACTTCTTCAAAAGCACCATTCCGCTTCTCAGCTTCCTTTAGACGTCGTTTTTCTTCTTCGATTTCTGCAAAAAAAAACAGTGCTCAAAAACAAAGATAAGCGATAGAAAATATTTATAGCTAAAGTAGATACTCCTGCGTATATTGCAGAATCAACGAGCAGTCAGCATACAAAGACGTAGCTACAACAACTCCGCCATTAGCTTACCAGTATAGATGTGCTACTTAGTAAAATGTCGGAATAAGTCTCATGATTCATTTTCTTTTATCCTAGGTATTGTTCATTAAGTCAGTGTTTTCTTTTTGAGCAGACATGAGCTTGTTAATAATAAGATTTATTCAGTACAATAAAAGCAGACGTCTCGGCAAATTTCTCCTACTTCAAAGTCAGAAAAAGCCACTTTAATAACACCCAAGGCTAAGACCAACCTCTGAACAAGGCTAAACCCACCGAAATGTCATCCACCACTGTGTTGAATACATCTTGTTATTCATAGCACAGTTTCTGCTCGGAAAGAACACACAATGCATACGCTGCCTCCCAACGGTCTACCGCCTCATCGTAACTGGGAGGTGTTTATGGATGTCAAGGTGCAATGTAGAGAGGGGATTCAACCCACCAGCACGATCTCCTAAGCTGAAAAGGAGTCCGGCGTTTCCATTAGGATGTTGAGCTAAGAGTAAAACAGTACTAGGAATTACCACCATCCTGGTATCAAACTAGTTACATGGTGGCCAATTGCCCTCTGATCCACAAGAGCGGCGACTGCCTCAGGTGGTGACGACCTGGGCCAGACTTTGGCATGGCCGACCTCGGGACTCCAGCGAAACACAATGGCTAAACCAGCAAAACTCCGAAAAGTGGAGAATATGCTAGGGTTCACACAACCAGTGAGGATGTTTCAAGTGAGGTTGTCCATGTTTCCAAGTAAGTATGTATACGCTTATTCAAAATTCGAATAGTTGGATTTTTGTTTCTATTGTTAAGCGTACACGAAGTTGATATCAGACGTTTGTTCGGCTAACGTTTCGACGTCTTCGACTTCATCAGAGCCGATGAACCTTGTCGATGGCCCACAGTTGTTCCTTTTTATGTGGCGTCTTCATCTTGCATTGAACCGGATGTCCGTCAGTTGAGCATCTCGAATGAGCCATGCTCACACGGAGACGCTCTTTTATACAGGGCGGTTGTTGTTGATATGATTGTCCGTTGATAATAATTTATTTTCAACATGCTCAACTGAGGAAGATCGGGTTCAATACGAGATGAAGACGCCACATTGAGAACACGAACAACTGTGGGCCATCGATAAGGATCGTCGGGTCTGATGAAAACGAAGACGTCGATACATTAGCCGAACAAACATCTCATATCAACTTCATGTAAGCTCAACAATATGAACAAATGTTGATTATGATAGTACCGAAGTTAAATTACGGTCTGTTTCAAAATTATCGTTTTGCTATTCGCCATGTGCTAGCTGAATTTATGATTACATTTCCTCAACATGTCGATTGTAGCATTCAACATGTTTCATTTTCAACATTATCAGTTCTGAAGAAATTTAACCATTATAACTCCTACGTCCGACTTTCTATTAACCTTGGCATTGATTGAGCAATTCTTTCCACTTCTGTTCAGCAAACACGAAGTGTTACTTTATTTCTTTATTTACGTATAAGCTGACGTTTCGGCGGATTTCGCCTTCTTCAGAGCCTGGAAAGGTCAAGTTGACAGCAACTTATTCGGCCAAACACCTCCATAACCAAACAGAGAAAGCGCTAAACCAAGATTTCAATCACATTGAACACAGCTCTGCACACTCGCCGCTTTCTACGGGTTTTCCACTGAGTATGTCGCGTGAAGACCAACCGCACACAATTCACATGGAAGCGTAATGTGCTCCTCACATCAGAATAACAGGTTTATATACTGCCCTATGTTATGTGTGATAATGAGGCATTCTTCCCTGCCGTTCATTTCCGGATTTCTGGATTAATTCCACATAGCCGGCAAACATAGACCAAATACCCCGCTAGGCACTCATATGACCCAGAGGCATAACGGAAAGGACTTTGAAGTTCGTCTCACGATCCTCGCACAGGAAACAAGAACGCAAGCGCGCAAAACTCTCGAGGCGTTCTGGATTAATTCCAGAAATCCGAAAATGAACCGCAGGGAAGAATGCCTCATTATCACACATGATATAGGGCAGTATATAAACCTGTTATTCTGATGTGAGGGACACATTGCGCTCCCACGTGAATTCTGTGCGGTTGGTCTTCACGCGACATACTCAGTGAAAGACCCATAGAAAGCGGTGAGTGCGCAGAGCTGTGTTCAATGTGATTGAAATCTTGGTTTAGCGCTTTCTCTGTTTGGTTATGGAGGTGTTTCGCCGAATAAGTTGCTGTCAACTTGACCTTTCCAGGCTCTGAGGAAGGCGAAATCCGCCGAAACGTCAGCTTTTACGTGAGTGGGGAAGTGGAATAGCACCTCGTGTTTGCTGAACAGAAGTGGAAAGAATTGTTTAACCATTGTAATTCTTCATCCCACAGATCACCTTCACATACAGGTCTCCTGCTGCTTAGTGGCGAGGCAACGCGGCGCGTCTTATGGAGGAGGAAAAGCGACCTTATGCTCCGCGGGTGGATTCAGGAGACATACTCTTTGTTTCCGATAATACGACAGATACCTTCTGTATTTACGAGAACATATTCATGAATGCACCTGCTGATGTGTTTTCGTTTATGCGAATCGTACTGAACAAGTTAATTCGGTAAAAGCCTGCAAACAAGTGCCAGGGACGTACATGGGAAGTGTTTAGGAGTCGCTTCCAATAAAGAAGACCCATTTACTCAGGAAGAGACTGGAAAGCTAAATGTGAGTATTTTGAGCTTCCAATTTGAGATCATAGCGAACTATACGTGGGTATCAACTTCATTCCTATGAGCCCGAAAGAGCACCCATTACGGCAGCGTTGGGTAGGACGAGTACGGAGAGGCTGCTAAAATCCCAGAGCCATTACAGGTTACCTAAATCTCATAGGACTGAAGTGATGACTCCACACGATCACTTGCATCTGAGTTCCCGATACAGGATTCGATCGCGTAGGCAAGGAGGATAAGGCACGACGTTACTGGACTGGCCGGCGCACGAAGACACCACCCATTCATCGCGTGATATAACACCGAAGAAGAACTGTTCCTCGGAACATGGGAAAATAGAGACGTCGGCGGCATCGGCGTTCTCGCCGACAAGAGTTTGGTCAACAAAATCGACTTATTCGATTCGAACAACTAACAACCCAAATCGAAAGTTCACGACTGAAAAGATGTAGAACAATATCGGCCTTAACAATCATCGTCGTTTACGCGCCGAGATCAAGCTATGACGAAGAAAAAGCTGAAGCATTCTTTACGGTCTTGAAGAAGTTCCATAGCGAAGACCATACATTCTTCAAGGTCATCGTTTTTGATTTTAACGCTATGATTGGGCCCACAAGAACATTTGAAGAACGTCACATTGCTACCCACGAGATATAAGGAAAGAAGCAGAGCAAGAGGCTGCCAGGGTTTCTCACCACGATCACGACCACCCGCGATAGCTAGCAGTTCCAGAAGCCCCATTCTCAACGCTAAACTCTTCTAATGCAGAGTACCACAGTAAAATAGACCATATCATCGTAAATCGAAGGTTTGGTCTAACCGATTTCATTGTCGTTCTAAAATTCTATGCACGATCAGACGAACTCCTTCGCGCAAAATTACATATCTTGCGAGATGGAGAAAAGGCCGCTAGATTCAGAAAACAAAGTCCTAAAACCACCATAAACCGAGATTTATTCAGTTCATTAGTCTGCTGTTGGGAAGATGCCGTTCTCGATAACATCGACGAGAAACACAACCGGCTTACTCACCATTTTCACGTTAGCGCTGTAAAAACAGAATTCGAAAGACACCAAGAGATGTCCAACTCGAGAAACACTCGAGTTAATACGTCAGTGTTGAATTACACTTTGATGGAAGAGATATGGCTTCCAGAAAAGTAAGGGAGAAAATTATTGACGATTACTACTCTGATCTATTCAATATCCACGTCCTGCTTCCGTTTAACGAAATGAAGGAGGACTGATTAATCTTCCCATCTATTCCCTCTTCCGAAAGCCAACATGTCGTTTCGTTGGCAAGTAATCGAACAACACCTAGTCAGAACAGGATAAGACCTGGATACCTAAAGTATCTCCTGGCGGCCCCTATCAACGCACTGGCTCCGCTGCTCTTACGCCATCTATAAGAATGTAAGTTTTCCACTCATTGGAGCACTAGACAGACTGTGGTATTATTTAAGAAAGATGACTTCCATGATATCAGCAACTATCACCCAATTTGCCTGATGTCTATCAATAAATTCCAATCGAGTCACCCTAAACAGGATTAACAGAACACTAGGCGAAGGACATCCATGTTAGCAAGCAGGGTTTCGAAAAGAATTTAGTATGGTGGACCACATCCACACGATAACAAGACTCACTGAAGTGTCGCGAAATTAAAGGAGTTTACTTTGTCTCACCTTCATCGATTTAAAGAAAATCTTCGGCCCAGTTGAGATAGAAGCAGTCGTGGAAGCTCTGGGCAGTCAGGGCTTCCCTACTCAGTGTAGAAAGATTCTTTCTGAGCCGTATAAAACCTTCGTAATAAAAATATCATCATTCTACAACGGTATTAACATCGACTTTAGAAGAGGGGATAGGCAAGGCGATATCAACTCATCAAAATTATTTACCGCCACCCGCGAGAACGTCATGCGAACATTGGAATGGGATAACATGGGAGTGAAAATCGATGGTCGGCAGTTACACCATCTTTGCTTTGCTGATGACATCGTTATTATAACACCAGGCATTAGCCAAGCGCAACGAATGCTTGCCGATTTTGATTGATAGGGCCCGTGGAAAGATTGGTCTTAGACTAAACCTCACAAAAACGATGTTGATGAGGAACGGATTGGTTTCATATGTCCCATTCACGCTCAACGGAACGAATACCTCCGAATGCTTCAGCTTTGTCTATTTAGGTCGGGAAATCAATATGATGAACGACTTAGCTCCAGAGCTGAGCAGAAGGAAACTAGCGGCTTGAGGGGCTTTCAAGAGCATCGAGGGTGTAGTGAAGAGAACAAAGAATACCAACCTCCCTTTATTCCGCTTCAACTCCACGAGTCTCTGTCCCTGCCTTAACGTACGCGCCAGAAACCTGGTCGCTGCGTAAGCAGTATGGAAGATCACTCAGCGTTATTGGACGCGCACTTGAAAGGACGATGCTAGCAGCATCAATCAAAAATCAAAGACGCCGTTTTATAGACCTGATTGTCGAGAATAAGGGGGGCCGGACACGTAATGCGAATGAACGACAACTGACGGACAGGAACCGTTAGTGAATGGATTCGTTGGAAAATTAAACGCACAGCAAGAAGATCACCAACCGATGGTCATAGTCCTTCAAGAAAACCCTGGAGAAAAGATGTCACGTTCAACGAGTCAGTAGAGTGACGATCACAATGTTTACTTTTTATTTACCGCCTACTGCAATTTTTCTCGGCAGGGTATTATGTATGATCCAATCAAAATGATGCTGAGATATTCGCAAAACTTTTGACCGCAGGTGTCTGCACCTTGTCTGCAGACACCTGTGGTCCGGAGTGCTGTAAACTTTGAGCATCATTGTGGTTGTATTTCACAAATGAAAGTCTCGATGGCGTCGGATCGAGTAACTCGACCATCAAAAGGATGGGAGGTGAATACAGGTTAATTCTTTGTCTTGCCGGTATCTTTTAATAACCTACTGACTGAGATGTTGCCTCAAATTTACAACAAAATTTGCTGTTTTAAACTTACAATTAACTTATTGCAGAGATAATATTCAGAAAAATACAAATTTAAAAACCTTGAAGTAGAGAATGCTGTTGTCTAAGACTCTGAATTGTCCTCTGATACTCGGTAAGATTTTCTTCGGAACGCTCGGTGAGCACAGAAAGTTTACCGGACACGTTGTCGTTTTCTTTTAGATCATCACCTATAGAGAGCTTGATTAATACAAGAAAATTAATTTAGCTACTTCAATGTTCCACCAGAAAATATGGTAAAAAAGCTATATGGAAACATTAAACTTCAAAAAGCAAAAAAAAACGCAAAAATAATGTCGAATATTAAGTAACATATTGTACGGTCTCAACTTAAAGACATGAAGCTTACGGAACAAAGTGGAATTTCCAGATTTACAGTTATAGCCCATTGTCTTCAGATGACCCCCATCTTGGATTACATTATCAGTGACCCACTATCAAATGTATAATATAGTATAAAGAAGACAATAAATATTGAACGTTGTTATAAGTTAACTGATGCGAGTTATACAGAGTGCCGCATGTTGATACTCAGCTAAATTTGCTCACATTGTCGGAGTGTGAACCTGATACAACCATTTTCATTACCTTCATTGTCACCATGGCTTCTTTTCCACTTGTGAACATATGGAATGGTACAAGAAATCATTCCTGATAATACAATCACAAAGCCGGCGAAGAAGAATGCGGCCGAGTACGACTGTGTCACGTCGTATACAAAACCTAAACTGTAGGTATTACCACAAAGAAATATGAAGCAAGCGTCATTTGGGAATTCTGTACTTGAAACGTTAATATATCAGACAAATGATATGTGTATTGTAACTGAATCAAAGCGATGGGTAGTCAGAAAAGCGCTTTACTTTTCGCCCCACCCCGCAATAAGTACAACGCAGTGGCTAGAGGTGCTTTGCAGCACACAAGTACTCCTTGGTAGGATCCAGCTCTCCGAGCCCATCGAGTCCACCATTCTTCCGAGATCGCCAAAAGTTGATATAAGACTTGTCTGGGAGGACAAAGCGGCACTGACTCGGTACTTCGGTAGGTCACCGAAAGTCACTTTATAGGCCGTCTATGCGTCCAGCCATCTCTACGATGCTACAAATGCATGGTGCATCCTTTAGAGACTGATCAGCGTTGAACGCCTTATTCCTTATCCATTCATCACACTTGTTCCTTTTCAATCATACTTTCACTCTCTCGTATTTCTTGTTACTGTCAAAGACACTTTAAAACAAGCACCGAGCAGCCAGTAGAGACACATTCTCCGGATAAGCTAACGTCGTTTTTTCTTCATGAGATAAATCGTTTGCTCACCAAAAATCTTCGTCTATTTTTACTATTTTATTTGTTTACGACGTTGGAACTACGATAATGGCGACCTAAAAACTACACCGACATCTCATGCAACTACTGCCTGTTGCTTTCGAGTTGTTTCCGTTCGACAAATAGTTTAGTTAGATATCTGCCTGCAGTAAATATAAACATATGAATAACGCTCCAAGGTAGGATAGATTATACGCTTGCATTCAAACATTTAAATACCCATTAAACACCCATTAATACTGCACGTTAATCGTGTACCAGCAAACTGCATTTTTCTTTACTTATTTCTTCACTTATTTCACGTAGTAGCTACGCTTCCTCTTCTACTCTCCTCATTCTTATTGCATTTGGAATAGAAAACTCAGATTTTATTAACCGCTAAATGTTCTGTTGGTTATTTGATTCCGTGCAAAAACTAAGTATAGACCAAACGTCATCGTGCGCTTATCAAAGGAATTATTGCTTCAGGGTTGATGGTCCCTTAACTGATTCTTTAGTCCCAGGTTTTACGGTATCAGGGCATGGTATCTCACCCGAATGCTTTTATTTTATCATGGATACTGCCACTGACAAGCGCACGAAGAGGGTTGGTGCATAAACATCATCGTTTTAGTCCATCTGAAATAAAAATATCAACTCCTTAAAAAAGGAGGCAAACTGTTAGACGGATGGTGCAATTAGAGGAATAAGAAGATAGAAAGCAGAATACGAAAACGAACCAGCAATAAGACTTAGACAATATAAGATTTCACAATGGATTAGTGAGTGAATGCGAAAAATGAATTAGCCATTCGATGTACCATTTGAAATAAGAACGCTATAAAACTGCAAAAACTTCCAACTTTTCACCATTGGAATGCATCCGATGCTGAACACAAAACGACTCAAAACATTGTTTTTGTTGTGACGACTGAGGCATCGTGAGAGGTGTACACATTCAGTAGATGTTTTTCTGCTGATGTTCGCAACCATAAGTTCGGCAAGAGCTTTTATTATTCAGATGAAATACGCGAGGTGCTAGGCATTGGACAACAACAATTACATGCTTTAGTAAAATTATACCCTGGATAGTCGCCGCAGTCTGCCGCAGCGACAAAAATCCTATAAACTACAGTAAGCGCAGCTGGGAAACCAACTTTGCTGGAAGCAAAGCGACGATTATAGCTTAGAACGACAACAGGGCAGTGTTCTGGACCAAGACATAGGATTACGTTAACGGCATCACAATATAACATATTATGAGACATATATACGTGCTTTACCACAAACTCGACCAATACGAGCAATCGATTGAGTCATAATGTGAATCGGAAGGATAAGGCACGCGCATTTAGTAAGACTGATAATATTTGCTTCTAATGGGTCATTTATCATAGACGTCTAATAAAGTACTTCAAATTATCTCGACCTTTTACGAGAAAATACTCACCGGCAAATGGTGATCCTGCTAATGAAGCAATACCTCTGGCTACAACAAGGATACCGAAGGAGTTGGTGAGTTTTTCAAGTCCTAGTAGGTCCGACAACACAATAGATGTAAGACATACGTAAGCTGCTATAAGTCCAATAGTTAAAAAAGGATTGCTGACACAGATAGTTTAACAAAATAAACAATAAAGCATACAAATGATAAACCCGAAGAGAGCGGCATATGTCAGCTGCAGAGACAATGACGGTAGAAGTGGTGCAGCCAGAGTTAACAAACCACATGCTATCAGGGAGAAATTATTTATTGTTAACGCCGACACGTACCCTCTATCCGCTAGCCATCCGAAAAATACCCTCCCTGCAAATGTATTCGTTACTGACTGACGTTGCCCGACATTCCAATAATACGGGGGCAGCACGGCATTTCCCACACCCATAAATGCTTAAGCTCTCTTACAATGTCGTCAATTCTTATTTAGTGCCTACTAATTTTTATTGGTAGGGTACTAAGCGAAATACAACCACAACGTTGCTGAGATATTTGCAAAACTCCGGACCGCTGGTGTCTGCGGTGGGAACCGAACACGCTATTACCATTTCTGGGGCCTGACGTGTTCACTAGCACACCATGCGAGTCCTTCGTTTCACTTGTCTCTCAGCCGTGTTATGAATTTGGAAATATCTCTTACAATAGTAAATTATCAAAACAAGACTGCTGGCAGTCGGCTATTCTTAAAATTATACCTATTGGAAGGGAAACATAGCAATTCGTGAACGGTCAAAAGCTTACCGATTGTGTTAGTGACACCGATTATTGGTACCAAATAGCGACTGGCGTTAGACTCTATGCCATGTGTGCGAGCTAGATCTTTTAGAAAAACAAACGGAATATAGAATCCCATCATTCCAAGCAGATTCGATACACAAAGTAGTAACATTACAGAATCTCTGAGCAGTTCCAGATCGATCATTTCGAAGAAAGCGCTACGAATCGCCAAGGGTATCCACCGGCAGAATCTAAATCGCGAACACTATTTGGCTTTCACAGCTAGTTTTTTGATTCGAACAGAAAAAAATACTTTGTATCAAATACCATTTTCATCCAGCGAAAATCACATCGCCGAATGTGGTTAAGTACGAGCCTGCGAGATCTCGAAAGAAGCGGTAATTTTCAGTGCTAGAACCTGCACTTCTGATTTTACAACCAGACTTCGAAAATCGCGTTGCTGCTTTCGGAAAGCAACTCATCCCATATATCCCCGATATCCCGAATATCTTCCCAAAAATTGGAACAGTATACCAGATATGTTAAAAGCTGACCCATTATCATAAAAATCATCAAGAATCTCATCGTCTTCAAAAACCAGTCCACCAGTGACACGAGACACACGAGAACCACCCATACGTGATCCCACGTCGTGTAGATCTCCTGCAATTATTCACAGCTTAGCTCGTCTCTGAAATGAAAGCGTTCTTGTGTAGGTGTGGACGCACCACCTTGACTCAGATTCGATGCTGCTTGTCCGATCACTGATCGCGGTATGGACAGGACTGATCCACGAAATGATTGCATATTGCTGCCCTCCTGTTTGAACTCTTTCAAATTCCTGATCGATCCGCCGTAGAAAATGTCCTGCCGGTACAATGGGCGTGTAAATTCGCGTGGATCAACACCCTGAACAGTGAGACAATTTTTATCAAACAAGTGTCATGGTAGGAAATCTCCCTTTGATCCGCAAGGGCGGCGACTCTCTGTGGTTGAGACGACATGGAGAAGACTTTGGCCTAGCTGACCTCAGGACTCCAGGGAACCACAATGGTCAGACCAGCAAAACTCCAAGAAGTAGAGGTTATGCTGGGGCTTGTAGAACCAGTGAGGGCGAACCATTCAAGTATCCAAGTAGGTATTCCGCGTTGAGGGCGACGTTTTTGCTCACTATGAATCATATAAGACTCGCGATTAGACTATATACATATAGATATATAGATAGATATATATTATATATACATATATATATATATATACATGTACGTAACCTGAACGAACTTCGAGCACTTGTAACATTAAAAATAACAATTACAAGAAGTTGAGATGACGCGATATGATGGTTTGGTACCATACCAACCTCGCATCAGCTCAACAATATCAGTTCATAGGAACGCATAAATAAATATGTCGATTATTTATACCGAGGTTTATAGAAAGTCGGTCTTTTGAGTTATTAAGAGATGTGCCAGCAAAACATTTCAGACTTGTAATGGACATATTATCATTAAGACAAAAAATCGTCTTAATGCGACAAAAGAACCTGGAAATTATACGAAGTATGCGGCTTACCAGAGAATTCTCAACAAATACTAAGCATCGAAACGAAATTAAGCACTTCATTGCGCTGCACACAAAACGAAGTGTTTTCTCAACTAGATAAATGTGTTTGCAAAGAAAGTCGCTGTGCTCAGTATTTGGAGAGGAATCTGAAAGGGAATAGTAGCTGGGTCTATACCTATTTGCGAAAAGACTCGGTGCGATATTAAGGATAAGCTAAGAGAAAAAAATTACAATAAGTGTTTAGATAGAAACTCACACTCATTGCAACGCTCAGGGTTGACGCATCGCCCTTGTTCGAAAGCCTACTCAACGATTGAGCGAAACTTCTGGCCGAAATGCGGTTTAGTTGTGGTCCAGTTAGTGTTGCACGGGACGCTTTAAGATCATTGGTGGACGTCATATCACTTGTCAAACTAAAACCAACACAATTGGCCTAGCAGTAGTTCAGTAAAATTCTTTATAAGTTCCTGAAAACCTTTCTATGATGTTGAATTTTAATTTCTCTCTGCTTCGTCTATTTTTTATTTTAAGTTACTTTTATCTTACAGCTCCTCGCCGTCAAGAAAGGGTAGCCTTTTTATACACGACCAATTTTTCCTAAGTTACAGTCAATGCATTAGTACCTTTGCCTATAAACGATCAGTAGTAAAGCTACAGACCATAATAAAAAAACTGTAGTTTTGTAGCAGAACCTCTATGCGTTGGAGGAATACGAGTGAAATAAGAGAATCGCGGATAACCTGCGAACGTAACCTGGTTAGCGTTAATTTGCGGGAACGAGTGGTAGCGCCGGTGTGAGCTTGATGAGTACTGCCAGCGCGACTTTTGGAGATCGCGTTTTCGAAGACGGGTGAGAGAGGTGGACGAACAGGCGTTGACGGTGAGGTGTCGTCTTCATTTTCGCATTCCGATAAAGCACTACGAAGACGAGCCATCACCGGATCACCGTGCGCACTCTCTGGAAGAATTAACCACCGTCGACGACAGAGAACACCGATAATATTTGGAAACATAACACAGTAAACTTTACTAGTTGAAATAAAAGCGTTTACACAGATTATAAATCTCAGTTAATAAGGCATAATTTAATCAAAGACAACAAGATGGTCACCCTTCTGCAGCCTACGAGTCGCTTCTCCTTTGCTGCTACTTATCACAGCGAACGAATAAATGGAGCTTGATTAAGCAGGATTTGAACCCGAGTCATTTTCCAACATACCATGCGGGTCCTTCGTTTCGCTTGTCTCTCAGCTAGTTCTATCGACCTTTTCGATCGAAAGGACAATAGCGCGTTCGTTCCCCACGGCAGACACCTGCGGTCCGGAGTTTTGCAAATATCTCAGCATTATACGAGTTATATTTCGCAACATACCTTGCCCTTAAAAAGGATAGGAAGAAAATAAAAAGGTTAAGATTATACAAATCTGTTCTATAAGATTCTCAAGTCCTCAAGTACTGTAATTATCGCGAGTTACAGGCAATGAGTTAAGGAAAACAGGAGATCCAGCTTAGGATTGGATTATTCAACAAGCTGCCTTATAAGCCAGGTATTTCGGTTCACGCACAAGTGTTCCATCTATCAGTTCACTAAGAAAGATTTTTAATTTTCATTATAAGGATATGTAATAACGTACTCCTCTTTGTCTCAAGTTTCATTTACTGTCTAATCTTTTTTCATGGTGGAGTAAAATTTGAATACAATCACAACGATACTGAGACATGAGCAAAACTCGGAACCTTAGGTGCGATTCACTTCGATTACCCTTTCCTGGGCTCATGTGCTGTCCACCACACCAACCTAGGGAAAACCTTGACTTGTCTTTCCATCAGATTCATTGTTATTCTATCGATGGTAACAGCAAACATCCATCAACGGGAATAACAAGATAAGCACAGGTAGCCATGTAAGCAAGTTAAGCTGAAGCTGCAGTCGAAATCACAATATCTAAACTATTGTTTACTGCTTACTTTTTCAATGGCAAGATACTATTCAAAACATAACCACAACAACGCTGAGATACGAGCAGAACTCGGAACTTCACGTTGGCTTTGAACTCGCGAATACACTTACTGCCCAAATAATTTCCATTGATAGGTGATTGCTGACATCACCATTAAGGCAGAAAACTGGCCGATAGAAAGACAAAACAAGGTTCCTGGTTGGTGTGGTAGATAACACTTAAAGATTCTGGCAATGGTAAACGCACAGTAAAGGTTCACCACAGGTTCTGAAACTTATTCATATCTCACTATCCCTGTGGTTACACTTTCCCTCTACCAATATTGATCCTGTTGTTACCAAAAAGTTTTTAAAAAAAGCACGAACCTGCTTCTACGCGTGAGTATCGTTTCGTCGGACTGGAGTGATCGTTGGACATTTGAGAGCCAGCACGGTTCTATAGTATCCAAAAACCCTTTAAGGTCTTAACAAACTTGTTCTCTTATTTCACCCACGTATTCTTCTTCTCCCTCTGACATTTTTCTTAATGCAGTTCTGAGGGGAATAAGTTCTTGGTCTTTTTGCGTGAAAGATGGTGCCTCGAGAGGTCGATAAAGTATAGCAAACAGTGCACACATCAACACCATCACTGCCATTATCCAAACTGTATACTTCCAACCAACCCCTGAAAGATATGTTGTTGTATGTCAGAGAAATACTTCTGAAGAACAAATTTTGGCTACCTACTTGAGATACAGAATTCTGTAAGAAATGGCATTACCATTGTGCCAACTCCTGAACCAGCAACAGCAATACCAGTGGCAATTGCCCTAAAACTACTCAGTAGAAACACCGCCATCACATCGTAATACTCATGTTCACTTACCGCTTGCTTTCGAAGTAGTAACCAACAACGACAATGGCAGGTAAATAGATCATTCCAAACCCAACACCACCTAATACGCCATAGATGAACATAAATGTGTAGATGTTGGGCGATGCAACTGAGATTAGGAATGAAGTGCCAGAAATGAATGCACCGCTAATAACCACCTTGCGAGCACCATACTTGTTCACCAAACCGCCGACGACTGGACCTAATGAAAGACTCGACAACTTCTCGTGCACTTGACAATAAACTCGAAAAGATGGAAACACTAATTATGCATTACAAAAGTCAACTCACCAACTAACAAATACACTCCGATCAAAAGTGAGCCAATGAGAGCCGTGGCTGCGTCTGATGCCTGAAGTAGAAATCAGTGAAATGGGAAGGTCAGAAAAAGACTGTTATTTTATGAACTAATCCAAATTTTGTAGAAAATTTCCGGACCAAAAATACACGGTTGAGACCAGAGTCTTTTCTTCTGTTCTCTTTCTCCTCAAATATTTCACAAAACTAGTTCCATAATGCTCAGATCCGGGTATTTGACATCAATTTTCAAATTCCTCCGTTCATTTCTGACATAGTAGAAAATGTCCGTAATAGTCAACTATATGGAAAGTCACATTGTTCGTCTTAACGTGATATCTGTGCTCCTGCACATCCATTCTGATTCCATTGACAAATGAAATGCTTGCCACACGTAGAGTTAAGTGAAAATTGGGCTAGTGTCCCTGGGTCTTCACATGAAAATGTTAGCCAACGGATCAGAGAAGAACTCGAAGACCTAACAGATAGACCTCGATAGTCGGGTAGCTCTGCATTCGTTTTCCAAAGAGGTCAGTTTTGATTGACAATAGTGCTATCGCAGAACGCTGGTCTATATGCTACAGAAACACTTTTTCTAGTATGAGTTAGCAAATTTTTGAAAGAAATATATGGTGCAGATCAGTTTAAAGTATGCTACGTATACCCTTAAACTATCTTAGAGCTCTTGAAAACGGGAAACCACGACTTTGATATGACAAAGAAGAGCTGGAGACTCACGTGGAAGTGCTGAGAGTAGGAACTTTTGAACTCTGTGAAACAAGTGCAGACACCATCAACGATGAGGTTAGAAAAGAAAGCGGCAAGCACTATCATCCATCCGTACCCTCCATCAGGTGGCGTCGGAATCAGCTGAGCCGTAACGTCAGCACCTTATATGAAAAAGAATGATCATGATGTGAGATTAAACTAAAACAAAACTCCATTAATCTGTGGATTACAGCGCATATAGAGTCCATTACTTTAGTGAAAAAAGTGATGTGGAACATTTGTTCTGATAGGGCGACACTCGTTGATTATACTCTAAGTCAATTTGTTATCAGAGAAAAAAGCATTGACACGAGTAAGCCGACTAAATGAAAAGAATAAGAACAAAAATCACACAATACAGCACACTATCACAGTTAGGAGATGAAAAATAGAATAATAACTTGACTGTAGAAGACAACTGAAAGTGTCATTTAATAAGAAAACAAAAGCCAATCATAATGTTGACACTTAAAGCTTTCCGAAAACCTCTTCAAACAAAAATTCACGAAAAGTCACGTCGGAACAGTTAAAAAAAAATGTAAGGAGGTACCGCTATCGAAATGCTCCAAGCATTGCAGTTAACCATTATAACCGCATATGATATGCTTTTAATGCTAGAACTTTGAAAAACAATTTCAAAGAAATTAGAAGTCTCGAAATATTAAAAAAAAATCAAAAAGCATATTTGTGAAGAAATATCGTAAACCTGGTTGCAAATTTATAGAAAGAGTTGAGCAGTCAAACTCCTGGTTCATGCCATTCAGGGACCCGCTCTCTTCCTCCTCGAAGAACGCGCGAGAACCCGCTGAAAAATCATATGTCATATCAACAAAAGAAAATATTGAATCAAAAGGCCTCTCTTGTCATCTCATACCTATTTTTTATTTTTTTATATGATCTATCTTCACGTCTACTGTGCCGATCCTAGCACTTCTCATACTCGATTCATTTCCCTCGCATCCATTACCCACGAAGATCTTCCAACTTTTACAAGTGGCTTCGGATGCTGCTTGAGGATTTTCATTACACCATGATTGTCGTAGATGCTGATCTAGCAGTCCTCCCTGGAGTCCTGAGATAGCCGGGCTGGAGTGTTCCCAGTTGGATTGCGCAGAATAATTTGTTTCCAGACAAGTCCGGTACCAATTTTCCGACTACGGAGGTATGAGAGGCTCGGTCATCCCAGTACGGAATCGAACTAGCACCATGTTCGTAATGACTGACATCACTACCTCTGTGCTATTCGTTCGTCTATACCCATTTGCTGTATAAATCTAAAAATACACCATGCGTAAAAGCGTAAAAAGAAAAAGCATGGATTATTCAAACAAAAGAAAAGCTGTATCACTAGAAAGGTGCGCGTGTTGCCCACTGGTTAGAGAAGCCCTGCAAAACACATGGGTTCGATCCCGAGTCCTGGGCTCACCAAGTTTTCCACCTCTCCAAGCTCGGCAGATCGGTACAAGACATGTCCGGAAGGACATCAGTACTGACTCGGTGCAACAGTAGACCACCGCAAGCAGTTGTATATGCAAAATATGCATTCAATCACCTCTAACGATGCTTAATGAAGTCGAGTACATGGCGCACACCTCAGGCATTGATAAACGCCAAGAGCTCTATCATTTTTAACCTCTTCACTAAAAATATTTAATTCTCGAATAAAGTCAACAAATGGTATTTGAATCAAAGGACTAGAAGTGACAATGGATTTTAATTAATGCAAATTGTCAAATCGTCGCAATTACCACAGTGGTAGTGATCCGGTTCATTATGCAGACAACCCAACCTACCCAGGTTCTGGTAGGATTCCTCCCGGGCCCACCAAGTCTTTCAACCTTCCGAGGTCGGCAAATTGGTACCAGACATGCCTGGAAGAAGTTCGCTCTATCTAATCCGCGTGCCAACACTCTAGCATGGCTATGCTAGGATCCCATGGAGAACCGATTCGACGAGCATTCAACGACATGCGTGACAAAGACGAAGAAATCCTCAAATAGTAGCAAAAGCCAAACGCAAAATAAATTCTGACAGCTTCTCAGATGGTGGATACCATGAAATATTCAAATAAGAAAAGTGCTGGGATCCACATAGTTCTATGATACATGTGCAGTCGGATCACGTAATAAATAATAAAGTTGGATAATTCATCACATTCCTGAAATGGGTCAGCAAGTAGTTGAGTACATCGACACATTACCCTATAAGATTCAAAAGAAGGTGTATGAACGAGCATGTAAAAGTATGTAGAGCGACTATTCCTTTTTGTCGTAAATCAATGATGGTCTCTCCTAACTGAAGCGATCAAATCAAATTGACCACTCAATGTGATCAAAATGAGTTTGAATGAGAGATGACGGGAAACAAGGAACAATTAATCCTCACTCAATGGTGATAAATGAGTAACAGGTTTTTGGCGATGCTGTTCGACTAAATATAACAAACAAACATGGATCGAATTTTATTCAAAATGAGGTTCAGGTGTGTGAGGGCTTCCTTGACACAATCATTCTATTTTACAACCAAATAATTTCAACCCGTAACACCACGGTTTTTCTACGCGCTTCTAATGTCCCATGGTACTAATGTAAAAGTAATACGATTTAAAAAACGACAAAGTGGCTTTAGCTCTTGTTTCATGCTGTCAGTGCAAATTTTTTATTCGTTTTATTTTACACGATCCGATGGCACATGTTGTGAGGACGGATCCTAGCACTTGCATTCTACTCGTTTCCCCGTACCCATCATTCACGAAGGACGTTATCGGATTTGCACGTGAATTCATCTGCAGCTGTTGGATTTTTGGTCCTCAATGCACGTCTTTGAATGCCAGTCGAGTCGATTCTGTCATGCCATATTTTGAGGACTAGAGGGATCCAGTTAATCCGTTAATCCCAGACGAGTCTGGTACTAATTTCCTTCCATGGAAGGATCTGATGCTGGATAATACTGACGCGGGACGGAAACACTGCGCTGCTCACACTGAACGGGTACCACTGCCACTGCGCTACCAGCCCTCTTCGATGATGGTTAGTTCAACATCTAGTAGGAGTTCTACGTCTATTTTTCTCTAATCATATTTAGAGTTTCGTCGAAGACGGCTTAGGTTACGCTAAAAGAAGGGATTCCTGTGCTACGAATCAATTTTTTCAAGCAAAGAAGTAATCCAGTGTCTTTTTTTATACGCAACTGTCAATACTACAAGATAATCTTCCAGAAACAGTGAGAGAAAACGGCAGAGGAACAGAGAACGAAGAATAAACAAGTAGTAATAGATAATTCGCGATTCGGTGAGTTTCTTAAATAGGTAGAAATACGCAAATTCTGAAGGACCACAGTAAAAGTTTGGTATTTTGTGTTAGAAAAAATAGCAACTAGCTATGTTGAGGGTAAATTAAGAAAGATATTTTAAACTTGAACTCACCCGAGTGGTTTCCTTAATTCCTTTGAATGTTTATTGGAAAGCAAACAACGTGATCAATTCATCTAGCGGTTCTACTCACCGTTCGACTTCGCCAATAGCCAATTAAAAGTTAGCAATGGATAAAGTAAGATTTTCATTTGATTTGGAAACACCGCTAATGTCAAGTGTGTAGGTGTGAAGCGGAAAAGTCCAGTAAATTCATCTAATACTGTGCAAACACTGCATATCGGAATGGGTGAAAAAGCCGGTCAATGAACTGCAACACGGTGTGATGAAGACGAAATGCACTTCCGCTTGTTATCTGCACTCCCGGCTCGCTTCACTACCATTCGATCGTAGTTGTGGATCATTAGTAATCTGACTTGTTCGAACAAATAAACGCGAAAGTGCTCATAAGTATGGTCAGTAGGCTTGCGTCAATTGGAGATAAAAGAACGAGAAGCAGCTCAAGGTCCTCCTCACGGTTCGACTTCTACGACTCCAAGAAATTTTGCGAAACAGTAGAAGTGTTTTTCTCTTCATCAAACCTTGGAAATAACGTTTCCTAATAATTCTTCCTTCCGGAATCTTCTTTTGAAAGCCAACAATTAAAAAATGCATCATAAAAATCTGTGGTTTGTGATCAGTGCTGCGACACAAGCCGCCATGGATTCTTATATTGGCGGTCTCTAAAACTGACTCAAGGAAACGAGATCCATGCCTCGTCGCCAAGGCGAGCACATCAAGCACCCAGTTATTCCTGGAACAGTTGGCATATCCAGCCGGAAGTGCATGTGTGGACCACTGCTGGGAATCGCCGTCATCTTTGAAGAAGTCTAGATCCAAGGTATAACAGTAAGCTTCTCCACATTCCATAGTGAAAACAAAGGAGGTTTAAGCATACATATATATATATATATATGTATATATATAAGTAGATATATAGCACATATATATACATATGCAAATATACATACATATATATACATATGTATAATATATATGCATATATAATATATATATCATATCTATACCATATATATCATATATATGATACATACATATACATATATATCTACATATACATATATGTCCATACATATACGTACGTATATATACATATACATATATATACATGCATATATATATACATATATACAATATATATGTATATATTATACATCATATATATATCACATATATAATACATGCATATACATATATATATGTACATATGCATATACATACATATACATATATATACAAACATTTACATATATATATCGTCATATATACACATATATATATCGTCATACATATACATATATATGTACATACATATACATATATGTACATACGTATACATACATATATATGCATATACATATATATACATACATATATACATATACATATATGTACATATACATATACATATATACATATATACATATACATATATATATATATATCGTGTTGCTCGAAAATAAGTGTTGAATAAGCAAAATCCTTTTTCTCGTATTTGTTTTAGCAACACTTTTCTCTCCTACGCTGTCGTACTATGCATTATTGCAAAGCTCATTTTATGTGCTTTCGCTCCGTTTAATTTAATTGCAGCATAAATTGCGGTTTGGAAAACCATTAGAGGTTAGAATCTGAAGCCCATTTCTAAAAATCCAAACTCGGACGAAGCGCAGCGCAATGGGATCGAAATGTTAATGAAATAAGAAGCCTAGGAAGTGTAGGTCGTAATAAACGCCAGGTGAGGAAGATTTTTGCAGAAAGGCTCACGGCAGCACATGAAGAGAAAGCTGATGGAAGAATGTCAAAAAACTAAGCAGCTAAGGAAATTCCTTGGATGTAATAAATATGATGTCTGCCACGATAGAGAATTGAAAAAAGATGAAGAAGGTATGCCCCAATTTTTTCCATTCACAATGCAATATGATATCCCAAAATCCTTGTTGGAGAAATGCACCTGGAATCTATAGAAGGATTTCAGAAAAGTGCAGGTTCTCATTACACGCAAATTTAACCAAAAAATGTAACCGAAGGGCTGTCCACATTTATGCTTCAGCTTGCTGTACAAGTTAGATATACGAGCTCCCCACGACGAATATCCCACTGTCAAAGACTTTGGATAAACATTAGAAGTTCAATAAGCAAAATTCTTACTGGGATTCCGCTGCGTAAGCCACGTCCAAATCGTAGATAGAGTTATAGAGATCCGTCGCAAACTTAGCATCTCCAATGTGTCAACCTTCGTAAGCTAGGAAACAATTTCAAACTGCCTTCGAAATTGTCGAAATCAATGCCATTATATTAGCTCAATTTGACCAAAGATTTGAACAACCTTGTACAAAAGCTTCATGCCACCGTTATTTCACCATGAAGATATTAAGTGCTTTTGAATCGCTGCAT